AGCTGTGGTATATTCACACAATGAAATACTATGCTGCATTGAAAAACAAGGAACTCGAGAGGCTGAGGCGGCGGCGGTGGCGGGCTGTCGTCCCCTTTCCCCTTCTTGGCGGGTGGAGGAGGCCTAAGCGGTGCTAAGTGCGCTTCCCCGCTTCCTTTCCCTCCCGGCGACTTCCCCCGGCCCTCTCGAGCCTTCAACGACGCAAGACTGTCCCAGCCCCGATATGGCTCGTGGGCAGGACGCAAGACTGTCCCAGCCCCGATATGGCTCGTGGGCAGCAGAAGATTCCGTCTCAGCAGAAAAATGCCAAAAAGCAAGCTGGACAAAAGAAGAAACAAGGCCATGATCAAAAGGCTGCAGCCAAAGCTGCTTTAATATATACCTGCACTGTCTGTAGGACACAAATGCCAGACCCTAAGACCTTCAAGCAGCACTTTGAGAGCAAACATCTTAAGACTCCACTTCCTCCAGAATTGGCTGATGTTCAAGCATAAGGTTGTTTACAGTGATCTTTGCATTGTCTAAAGAGAAAAAATTCCAATGATACATGACCAACCTCCTGATGAAGATTGAATTAAACTGGCCTCCGTGGTTTAGAACAACTCAAAAGCTCTCACTACTGCAAAACCCAAAAGCAGACTCTCTGATTAACTTGTATTGTAAAAGGCTCTTCTCTCCAGCCTTTTTAAGGACCATAGCCCAGTTCATGCTCACCCCAGGAGGGAGGCCTGCAGCTCAGCTTCTCAGATCCTTTTCCATGAAGAATGTTTCATTGCATGATTATAGAAAGCAAGGTTTACTGAGATTGTTTACTTCTTAGGACTCAGCTGGGACCTAAGAAAATTAATCTCCCTTTTGGGTAGATCACTGTGACTCCATCAGATTTCCGGGAGAAAACAGATGAAAATATTCAGTTTCGTGGAAAATACTTTTATTGCACCAAGGCAATGAAGTGACCTGTACATCAAAATACAGAAATTTGCCAGGGTGCCCTGGTAATGCAAAAAAAAACAAACAAAAAAAAAACCAAGGAACTCATGCAATATTATTCAAAATGGGTGACTCTGGAGGACATTATGCTGAGTGAAGTATCCCAGTCACAAAAGGACAAATACTGCATGGTGCCACTGTTGTAAAACAGGACTGACCTCGGGGTTGGGGAGAGACTGAGAAAGATGGGTTCAATAATGTATACTGCACTGAAACAGATAAGGGAGAAAACT